GGCCGAGCCCGTATCTATTAGTCGAGTTGATTGTGATATATACCAGTATGATAGAACTGTTTATACTTGTTGTCTGCGTGATACTTGTATGATATGTGTTGACGGTTGGGTGTGGGCGAGGCCCATATCCCTCCGAGAATGGAGTGTGGGCTAGGCCCGTATCTCCCAGGTAGCGAAGTGTGGGCGGGGCCCGTATCTTCACGAGTGTGGGGGGGGCCCGTATCTCTCAGAAAGTGAGGTGTGGCGGGGCCGTATCCTCACGAGTGTGGGCGGGGCCCGTATCTCCTAATTGCATGTTATTTGTTATATGTTGTATGGTATGGGGTATTATGGGGGAGCTCACTAAGCTTTGTGCTTACGGTTTCAGTTTTGGTTTCAGGTACCTCCTCAGCTAGGGGAAAGGAGCCGGCACGGTAGCAGCATGTCACACACACACTCTTCGGTTTCCGCATTTACGAGATTCATTGGGATTGTACTCTGATATTTGATGGATTGTATGGTTTGAATATTAAAACATGGTTTGCGATGTGTTATGGCGTGATCAAACAATGCTTTTATTTATTAATGTTTTCTAAAAGTAATATTTTAAAATGAAATTTTTGGACATGAAAATTGGGTCGTTACACGTATTGAGGTATATTCTAAGTAGAATATATTATTAAATTATGTTTTAGAATATATTTTAATTATATCCTAACTTAATATAAGAAAAATATTCTAATGTCTTTTTTTCCTAGGAGTATGAAGAAAAGTATGAAAAAATTTTCAACAATGTCTCAACTGAAAAGAATGATATGGAAGATATTATTTTTCATTGTCTATCGAAGTTCCCTGAAGACAATAAAACGAAGGAGATGATAAGAAAGTTTAGAGACATATTTTCAACTACACTTTTTTCTAGTCGAGAGAAATCAGAAACTATGAAGGAGAGAACTGAAGTCAAATCAGATAGAGATGAAGAGCTTAATAAAACAAACATTTCTGATTCTGATGATGATAAAGATGAAGGAATGAATACAAAGTTAGTTGCATTTTTAGCTGTTAAACCATTACAACAGAAGTTTCCAGAGAATGAAGAAACACAAGAAGAAGATCAAGATATGAATGTTGATGACCGAATAAATTTGGGTTTTGAGAATAATATTGGCGAGGAAACGATTAGACATCCGCATAATCCAGAAAGACAAATAGAATTTGAAGGCATAAATGTTGATGACAAAATAAATTTGGCTTCAGAGGTGAATAATATAGACGAGACTATTGAAAAAAAGAATTTAGAAGACAATGTTGAGAGCAAAAATCTTGTTAAAGGTGGTGAAATTATTGGTGGGGAGAATATTAGGGAGGGGAATATTGTAGAGAAGGTGGTTGGAGACAACATAGGTGAGAGCTCAATTGTTACACCAAAACACAATCCAAAAGGTATATCTATTGATTTTTCCCCTTGGTCTGATTCATTCATAGAAAAAATGGATGAGGATTTGCTTAGAATATTCTCAAACAGAAATCCAGATTCAAATACAATTCAAAATCCAGTTGTCAGATCTCCTGTTCCAAAAAAGCTAACATTTGAAAATTCAGAATTTCCCTCCTTTGATCTTCAAATAACCCAACTAATAAACAATGCAGAAACTGGTGATAATTCTGAGGGTAGTGATGAAGATGGAGAATTAGAAGGGAATGAAGAGCATATTTTAGATGAGAAAGGGAAAAAGGGTCAGAATGTGAATGCAAGAGGGAAAAGGAAGGTGACTAATCCATATATTTTTAGATCACCTTTTGTGAATAGGGTAATTGACTTAAGTGAAAAAGTCAGTACTGAGCAAGAGATAATGGCGCAAATCATGTTTAGATGCGTTGCAGACAAAGATCCAATGTAAGTAAATTCATAATTGTGTAATATTCCTATTGGAATATTTTAACTACAATTCAATATTTTTGTTTTGAAGGGAAATGTTGTTTGAAACTGAGTCTGGAGACATAATGGATAGGGTGCATTTTGAGGGTATGCGTCCAAATCATAAGATACATCATTTCGTTATTGATTGTTGGGCTGTTGTTCTTAATTTTGAAGAAGAAAACCTGAGAAACAAAAAATCACCACCACGTGTCTTCTTCAACACTCAAATTATGGTACTTAATTTTTAAAATTTATTTTCTATATTCTAATTATAATTTAAAACAATGTATTATAATATTTCTATTGTTCTATATGTACAGACAGAAAAATTACTGGATTCTTCAATACCTTTTGTTGAAAGATCCCGACTTTTTGATGAGGCTGTAAACAATTACTTATATGACATCAAAAGAAAAGTGGATTTCAATTCTATTAATCTGGTATGTATTTTTGATTACAAGATAACATATTCATATTAAAATTTATAAAAATTCATTTGTATTTATGTTTGAACTACAGGTGTTTTTTCCAATACACAACCGTGGTCATTTTTATTGTATTCTTTTCAACCTTACAAATCCAGAACATATAATCATTGACAACATAAGATACACCAAAAAAGTAGAAGATGTCTATGGAGAGATTCCTAAACTTGTGGTAAATGTTTCTTCCATAAATCTAAAAACTTTATTTTAATCATAATTGTTTACTTTAAAAAACCACTCTGTATTAGTAAATAAATTCTGATTAGAATATAAAATATAATATTTATATTCTTATAAGATTTATTTACTTAATATAGTTATCATTTTAGAAAAATAATGGTATTTTATTAATATGCATTGCAGCAAATGTACTTTTCAAAGTTTTTGGACAACAATCGGCGGGATAAGGTTTCTTTGTTTAAATCTATGAAGCCAAAGAAAATGAAAATGGCATGGCAAACAAAAACTAAGACAAATGATGATGGTATATTTTTGATGAGGCATATAGAAAAATACATGGGTGAGAAAGAAGAAAAAAGGGATGTAGAACTGGGAGAAGAAAGTGTTAGGACATCTAACAAAATTGCAAAGTTGCGTACATTTTATGTTTCTAAGCTAGCAAACCATCAAATCAACAAGCAGAGAAAATTGAATGTTACAGAAGCATTGGAATTTTCAAAACTTGATAAGAAAACTAGGTGTATGTTGGTGAAAGAAGGCAGTGAAGCAAGAGACAATTTGGAAATGAAGAAAGTTTGAAAAAATTTTATATTGGCTTATTACATACAGACATTTTATTTTCTATTTTGTTTTTTTTTAAATGCTTATGTTTGAGGATATACTTAAACCATTGATATTTTGCTAAATGATATGCTTAAACCAGTTAGTTGGTATCTTGATAAAATATTTACTGCTTAATAGTAAATGATATATTGCGTTTAAACTTTTTGTTTGATGATGCCTATTTATTTGATTAAAAAATTGTTTGGTAAAATGATAAATGATTAAAACACATATTGTTAATATTGTATTAAGCTTATTCTAATTTGTTTTATGTGAATTATTCTGATTATTCTGGTTTCATTAAAATACTTAATAATAAAACGTTTTAATATAATATGTAATTTTGTTTTACAATATTTTAATAAAAATAATAAATGAAATTAGATTTAGTATCATGTTACAATAATAAAAAATTACGATAATAAAAATTTTAGTATACTTTATAAAAAAAATACATTGTCTCTATTAGTATAAGTAAAATTTTAGAATAAATGAAAATATTTATTTTAGAATATTTGTAATTAAGTAATTTTATTTTACAATTAAAATAATATTTGAACCAAACTGTAAGTTTTTAAATTAAAAGGGACTAAAAATACTATGACTTATTTTCCAGGGACGAAAAAGGGACAAACGTGATAACTTTGAGATTTTATACTTATGCACGATGGAAGAACATTAAAATGAAAAAACTCAATTTCTTTATCTGTGTTCTCAAAAACCGTCTTCCAAAACTTCTTATCATTTTCGGTTTTAAACACTCCATCAAAACCCTAACTTCTTGTGCTCTTGAACTCGTCATCTTCGATTTCTCCTTGTATCAATTTCAATTTTCGATGTTGTGAATCCGATTTTCACTTGATAACATCGATAAAACCCTAAACTTAATTTCATTCTTATCGAGTATTTCTTATCAACGAAAATGGCTAAATCAACGCGTGCTTCAGAATCTACACCATCAGATCACCTAAATGCCATTATTACCAAAACTTCTCAAGAAATTCCAGGTATATCTTTATATCCTTGAGTTCGTTTGAAAACGGCGATATATCTTTGAGAATTGACCTTCTATTGTTCCTCCAGTCTCCATATCTACATACTAATAATTAGGGCATCGAGCTCTTGTTTCTTAGTGAATATGGGCGTTTTTGTGTTGTTTGAGTATGTATTTATAACAAAAATATGCCCCTACTTATATTACATTTAATACATTCTTATGTGGGATTCTTTGGATTAATGATAAATAAAGCTTTAGCCTTTCATCTATTTGCAGGGGCATTCAGTTTTGATTTCAACCAAACACATTTATTTATTACTTTTGAGATTTTGTGTGTATGTGAAAAAGGAAATATACACAAGTGCTTTCAAGGCAGATATGAAAAGAAACATTCTCATGGTATTGGTCCTGGTGGTCTTGGTCTGAATAAGAATAATAAAGTTTTTCCATTAAACAATTGCATATTATGTCCTGTAATAATTCAGAACTTGATCTGAATTAGTATAGAACTCATCACATAAACAAAAACAAAATTGTGTAATTAACAATCACGTTATTATATGTGTTTTCTGCATTTTCTGATAAAATAGAGAGTTATCATTCCACTTTTGACATCTTACTATGTGATTCAACTTCTAACTGTTCTTTTACACAAAACTTTAATCATTATATAAACTTTATGCATGGTTAAGTCAAGCATCACTAGGGTAAGTGGATGGAAAAAATACTATGTACAGGGACATATTCATCAATTTGCTTCTGTTTTTAATGTGTATGTATGTAACTGTGTTTATAGAAAATTCGAGTAATTTTAATCTCATAAAGAAACAGTGCAGGGGCATATTGGTCAATTTGCTTTAAATTTATTATGTGTATCTTTATATGTTGTTTTCTTTGTGTGTATGTATTATGATGAGTTAGAATATAATTTTGAAATAAATGTAAGTGTTTTTCTATTACAGATTACATTTAAATTGTATTTAACATTAATTATTTTCATGCAGATAATATTATAACAAGAATGACAAAATCAAAAATAAAAATGATGACACTGGGTAGAAGTAGTGAAGTTGAAACTTCAACAGGCAAACAGTTGGTTCAAAAAAGAAAATCATCGAAGTCGATCAATCAATTAACAACTACAACATCAAAAGAAAAACAAAAAAAAGGTATATCATCAATTATTCTATTCTAATAAAAATATTTACCTCATTTATTTCTGTTATTCTATGTATTATAATAAAATATTCTATATTCTATTATTATTTTTTTCTATATTCTATTAATTTTATTCTAATATAATATTTTTAATTGTTAATCTAATTTGTTTCTGTTATTCTATATACTTTAATAAACTATTCTATGTATTATAATAAAATATAAAAGAATAAATGATATATTGTGTATTCAATGTTTTCTAATAAAATATTTATCTCATTTGTTTATGTTATTCAATGTATTACAAATAAAATATTATATATTCTATTAATGTGTTTCTATGTTCTATTAATCTTATTCTAGTAGAATATTTTTAAATGTTACTCTAGATATTTGGATATGATAAATCAATTATTATTTCCTAATTTGATTATGAAAATGACAATAAACAGCAAGAAGGTTGTATATGGATAAAACTCATGAAAAAACTTCAATAGCCGAACGACTAATTGAAAGAAGAAAATCATTGAAGCTTATTGATGAATCAGCCAATACAACAGCAAAAGCCAAAGAAAAAAAAGGTATATCATCAATTATTGTATTTGTACTATAATATCTTGTGTATTAATGTTATTCTAATAGCAAGAATGTCATATATAGATAAAATTCATATTTGTTATTATTGATTATGCATTTACAATTAGAGTTAGCATAAGCATTTTACATCATTATGATTTTATACTTTACAATTCCAATATTATGGAACAATATTATGTTTGATATCAATTGCTTATGGATCATAACTGAAAATTCTTGGTATTTTGATGTGAAAGTATTTTTCTATTGTTTATTGATGTGAAAGTATGTTTCTATGATATGAAATATTTATGGTTCATATTACACATTCTATATATTATTATATCATAAATCATGTTATACTTGATTTTTTTGTTGTTTTACTTAGCTGATATAGGATTTTGCAACATTTGAGTTTAAATTTTTATAAATAATATATTTTGAATAAATATCTACATTTTACTTAGATGATATAGTATTTTTGGATTAAATTTCATAGAATATTCTGATATAATAAGTGTATATGTATAATATTCTGTTTGGAATATTACTTTGTAGTGACAAAGATTAAAGAAGGAAAACGGAAGACGAATAGTGGGGACAATCGTGCAGCAATAAAGAAACAAAAAACCGTGAAAAAGCAAAAGACTGTGAAAGATATATTGAAGGAGTTGCCTTCAATAAACACTAGATCAACACCTGGATTGATGACAGATGCTGTAAGTTCTTTGACATCAGAACAAAAAGATTGGGTGAAACGGATGGGATTTAAAGCCTTTTTGAAGATCAACATTGAGAGTATTCCCTTAAAACTTTGCCATTTTGTGCGTAAGCATTACGATGAAGGCACAAACAGTATTCTGATTAAAGGAAAAAGAATAAAGATCACAAAGGAAAAAATTCATAAAGTGTTTGGTTTACCCAAAACTGGAAAAAGCTTATTTGATTTGGACAAGGTTAGTGAAGATCATCAAGTCTTTGATGGATGGATGAAGGAACTTGAAGATGGAAAGGCAAATGCAACAAATTACAAGAAGATTATTCAAAAATCCGAACAAGTGGATATGAATTTCAAGCTGGGTTTCATAGCTTTATTCGTTAATACGTTTGCAGAATCCATTCCTATGGGGACAAACAACTTAGTTCCAGTTAGAGCACTTGTTGAAGTAGATGACATTTCTAAAATCGATTGGTGTGCATATTTGTTGTACTGTGTGAAAAATTCAAAAGGGAGATGGCGTCCAGACGACCCCAAGTGTTATTATAAAGGCCCGATGTTGTTGCTATTGGTATGTTTTTTCATATACTTATTTTTTTTTCTTAAAAATGGATATCTAATATGATGTTGAAATAATGCAGCTAATTTACTGTGATGAAATTGAATGCAAGCTCCAAAAAATAGAACGTAAAACACCATTAGTTACAATGTGGATAGCAGATAAGTTGAAGGAAAGACAATCTTTTGAGATTGAAGCTGGTGGATTTGGGGTTGGGAATCTAATTGAACAAAGTTCAAATTTAGAACTTGAGAAGAATGAAAATCAGGACACGCGTATTGAGGTATATTCTAAGTAGAATATATTATTAAATTATGTTTTAGAATATATTTTAATTATATCGTAACTTATTATAAGAAAAATATTCTAATGTTTTTTTATATTAGGTTAAAGTATGATTTTATAAAAATCTGGATATTCTTATATTACATGCTTATGGTTCATAGTAAATATTCTAGATATTCTGAGATGATAAAATATTACATGCTCATAATTATATTATTTTATTATTTTTCAAGAATATAAAGATAACTTTGATAAGATGTTCAATAAAGTTTCATCAATAAAGGAGGACATGTATGGAATTGTTTTTGATTGTATATCAAAGTTCCGAGATGTCAATATAACAAATGAATTGAAAGAGAAGTTCATTAAGTTATTTTCAGATCCTATTTTTTCAAGTGCTGATAATCAAAACAATGAAAACAAAAAAAGAGATCACATGAAAGGGTTGAATCTCAAAATGGTGATGAAAGGGTTGAATCTCAAAATGGTGACATAGGGGAGAATTATATAAGTTCTTACAAATCACCATATATGGATAAAGCTGTGAATTTATTTGATAGAATCGATTTGCAGAATGTTCTTTTGATTCAGGTTCTAATAAGATGTGCACAGGAGAAAAATAGAATGTAAGTCACTAACTCTTGGTATAATACATGTGTATATTTATTCTAATGTTGATGACATATTTTTTGTTCATGTTTAAAATTAAGGGAGGTACTTTTTGAAACAAATACGGGAGAGATTATGCATAGACAGGATTTTGAGAGCATGCGGCCTGAACATGTTATACATCATCGTGTGATTGATTCTTGGGCTGTTGTTCTAAATTACAAAAAATATTCATTCATTGTTTCCCAGCTTACCTTCAAAAACAATTCATATATTATTCTGTTAGAATATAATATAGTATAAAAAGGCATTTCATTTAATCTATTATCCTAATTACAAAAAATATTTCATTTAATATTCTGATAAGAATATAACAATAATGTTAGTACCTTCAATGGAAGTTTACTTGTGATATGCCACATACAAAATCTATGTTTTGTGTATGGAAATACTATCTCAATAGCTTTTTTCATTGCTGGATCTTGATCGGTCATGACCATGATTGGTGCTTTTCCAAAACACTTCAAGAATGACCGAAGTAACCAAATATAGGAATTTGTATCTTCTCTACACAACAAACCAGCTCCAAAAGTGATGCACCTTTTGTGATTATCAATGCCAGTAAAAGGTACAAATACCATACAATACCTAAAAAAACACAAAAAAAATACCATTAGAATATATAACTAAAAATGTTTATATTTCTAGAATAAATACCTGTTTGTACGATATGTTGCGTCAAACGAAACAACGTCCCCAAATAACTCAAAGTTTTGTTTTGAAGTGTCATCAGCCCAAAAAAGAGCATTTAACTGCTTCTTGTCACATCTGTATTCGTATGTAAAATTTGTAGCATTCTCTTTACGATTCTGAAGCTTTGTAATCAACAAATTTGCATCAGTGCCCCCGATGTGACAATTTATATCCCTTTTAAAATTTTTCCAATCTATCTCTATTCCATCAACAAATTCACATCCTCCTTTTATAACGCACATTAGTCTATATGCTGTAGTTGCCCCCACCTTTGCACTCGAAAGCTTATGTATAAAAGCTTGATCAACAACATTCAACTAACGTTTAGCTCTTGAAAGATGCATACAATCTTGATTGATCAATTTGTGGTTGTGTTGTTGTTCAAAGCGCCACAGGTAAACTTCTGAAGAATGTGGTATAACTTTGAATGCAACAAAAGCTTTGCAATTTGTGCGTTTACAATTACTATTTCTCAATTGCTTATTATGATCATCACTAATTGTGTCTAAGGTAGAAGTGTTTGGAAATCCCCCTCTATTGCATATAAAATATTTCGAAGTTGTGATTCCACTCTTTTTCCTCTCTGTTGATTTTCTAATATCAAAACCAGATCTTAATGCATATCCTTTATACCACTTAATAGCATCTTTGATATCTTTAAAAATTGAACCCAAAGTAGGTATCCAACCAGGTTCAACCTCTGGAATCCAAAATAAAGAACCATGAGCTCCAATGAATTGTTTGCAAGAGCCATATTGTGCTGCAACAATGTCACTTTGAACTATAAAAAAAGAATATACTACCATGTTAACATATAATCATAATAATTTGCATTCATATGAATGTAATCATAAAAAACCACAATCTTATATGTGCATTATTCTATAAGCATAACATGCAGTAACATGAACTTATCACCAACATCATTCTATAAAGAATAACCGATATCAGTAACAGAATTACCTTGGATTTCCAATTGATTTCCATCATTATCCAGAATCTCTGAATCACCAGATCTGAATTGATGATTTTCTTCATCGTAATGATCATTTCCGATGTCATTCATATCTAAATCATACATAATTGTTACTACATTAAAAATTGAATATGTTATATGCAAATAACAATGAAAACAATGATTACCTTGGGTTTCCGATTGATTTTCCTCGTTATGAAGAAACTCTGAATCAGTATAACCGAACTGATGATTTTCTTCATCAAGATGATTGTTTTCGATGTCATGCATATCCAAATCATCCATAACTGTTATCATTATTGATATATCAATGTATGTAAAATATTCTATAAGAATAACATGCAGTCTCATGAACTTATCACTAAGATGATGTTAATGAAAAGCAAATAGATGTTAATCAAAAGAAAACAGATGACATATTGCTGAAAAACATAATGATTAAATGAAAAGTTAAAAAACAAACAATGAAATAGGTGATGCATTGTCAAACAACATATTATAGATTAAATTGTTTTCTAGCTCAAACAAATTCAACAACAAATGATCTTTGATTGCTGAATTGGATGTCTCAACAAAAGATGATGTTTGATTTCTGAAATCACAAATCATACAAATATAAAATTGCAGAAATCGATAATAGTTGATGATTCAATTCATGAACTAGGTTAAAAATTGAATACGTTATATGCAACTAACAGTGAAGTCGATGAAAACTCAAACCTTGATCAATTGACGGTTTCATGATGTTGAGTAAAATTCACGGCTTGAAAGATCGTAAACAATTGTTGAAGATGAGGATTAGAAGAAATCGTTGAACACTTGAACCTCTACCGAAATCGATGATCACAAAGTTAAAATTGATCAAAATCACTCAGCTTATCGTGAATTGCAGATGAAGAAGAATCAAGAACATGAACTCGAATAACACAAAAATCGTGAATTTAAAAGCTCTGATTTAGCATCGTTCGATCAATGTCAAAAATCAAAATCGATTATCGGTTGAAAGAATATAAGATTAAAGATAGAATATCGATCAAATTGAATTGAAGAACAGTGAATGTTGTTTCATCGTATAAATTGGTAGAAACACATGAACAGGTGAGATGATTTCTGGATGACGTGAAAATTAAGCTAACCTGATATCTTAAATTTAACCTAGTGACTAATCTACCCCTAATTAACTAATCAGCTAGATTAATTAATGTTAATCCTTTTTTTTTTATGAGCCACAAGATCAAATCTAATCAAAGGCTAAGATTTGGTCCCCATGTCTTACAAAATATAGGTGGTCTCAAATAAACCTCTATCTATCTATCTATATCTATATCTATATCTATATCTATATATATATATATATATATATATATATATATATATATATATATATATATATATATATATATTATTGTAATCTAGATGATCACAATGCACACAATAGTGTCATAAACATACCTACACATAGTGTCTCGTGGTCATTGAACTTATATACCATCCCATTCACGTCATGCAGTTTGTCCAATGATGGTTTTTGGTGACATTTGTGAAGTGTTTCTAAAGACTTATCACAATTTCCTTCCTATTTCATACATTTATCAATCATAGACTTTATAATATAATTTGAACAATTAAATGCTAATACACTAACACCACAAATACTAACGAACATAGGTTTTTATTATGTCCACAAAACATTTATAATATATGGGGGTTACAAAATACATGAATACACTTATACCATTTTCGCTACAAAATCAAGGATTGTATGTAGGTAGGTGTTGCAAGGGAGGAATGCAAGTCGTGTGGTCGTGTTGATGAAAGCTAAGATGAAGATAACAAGAGGTAGTTTTCGACTCATAGTTGTGGGTTGTCACTAGTTGATCTTCGGAGTTGCCATTAAAGTCCATCTCTCATATGTAGAAAGACTCTTAATAACAAGCCAATTTGAGTTCATCTTGTATCTTAATTTTTTTAAAAGGTTCAGTTATATGTCTGAGCTATTATTTGTTCTCATGAGGTGTGTGTGTTCAACTAATGAAGTAATTTTGGGAAATTAGTTTAAAATCATATGTTTAACTAGTTATTCTAATTGGCGAATTTTGATTTTGCTTGGTTGATATCTTTTGGTTTCAAATTTGAGTTTTATAGAATTTTCTTTAAATTTAGGGTTCTTTGAAGATAAAGAACAATGAAAATGATTATGAAGCATAAAGAAAAAGAAATGAAGTAGATGAAAGAACAAAATAACAAAATAAATATTTTACATGTACTTTAATGGCCGAAACGTTCAGTCAGACAACATAAGGACCAAACGGTGCAATGAAACTACAATCTAGGGGCCTCATATGAAAATAATAAAACATCTTGAATGAGTCCATAACTTTTCAAGAACCATAGAGAAAGAAATTTGTAATTTACTACTTTTTTATTCGATTTCTTCAAGTATATCCATCGTTCTCTTAAATACCTATAGAGTCACGATATTATCCTTCTTAAAGATCGCGAACCAAACTTCTTTTTCTTAAGTAAACAAAGAAAATGACCAAAACGTGTTATGAAAAGACTCTACCTGGCTCAATTGGCCCAGATAATGGAGTAATTCATACCCTACGTCTATCAATGCATATGTGATTCTTCTGATTTTTTTACAGTATAACTTGCAGGAAGGAAAGAAAAGTTATTGCTTAATCCATAAAGTCAAATATCCTGCAAACAATCGCATCTATGTCCATGTCTATGTCTCCATTTCAATTTCAAGCACATGGCCCAGTTTTCTGACTTATGGGCATGGGGTGGGGCTTTTTGGAAGTGAAGATTTTTTACTCATTATCTCATTTATCTTGAAATAAGTAGAGAAAAACAAATAGATATCTTGCATTCTTGTATACGATTTTATTTATTTATTTGTTACAAAATTGTCCAAAAAAATTCTATTCCTACAATGTCTAGGCATTTTTAGACCTTTTTCATTTTTACACCAAGTTTTTTCTCCTCTTGAAAATCGCTCTCAACATAACACTGTATTTTTGCACTATGTATATATGTTTTGTGTAACGAAATTTGGTTTTTGAAGATCCGTACAACAATAAGAACTTTTACCTTTTTTTTTTTAATTTTTTTTGTGAAGATTTTGAACAATTTCACATTGAGTAATGTAATTTGACATCGAGAGATTGTATTTGATAAGTTTTTATCGAATCTAGGTTGACTTGTTGCAAAATTGGAGGTTATTTTATGGATTTCTTTTTGTTACTATTTGAAAAGTTTTATATAAATATTGGCTATATTTGCGTTTTCCTCAATTAATTAAGAAATGGTAAATATAAAATGCAATTACCAATGTTCTGATCAAACTTACCATAGTCTTTCTAAATTAATTTATTTCTCTGTTTTCATAAGTCATAACTACATAGTAAGAGAATTCAAATGTACCAAGAATGGTATCAATGCTTTGAAAAATCCATCATCCAAGCATCAAGGAATGTATCATTTCTTTGCAAGAAAACATGCTTTCAAGAAAGCAAAAAAATATTTAAAAGAAAAAAAAAACATCATTGGCTTCATATAAAATAAATTTACTATGTACAAAAACTTACTTCCACAATCATTTTTCTTTTTCTTTTTTAAACCAAAAAGTCGTTATCCGTCTTTCTATATTGTCCCTATATTAATAAAATAAAAAAAATAATGAGTGGGAGAAATAATTGATGCGCTTTTCAAAGTTTCAAAAAAAAAAAAGCAAGCAATTAAAGTTAAAGTTAATAAAAGTAAAATCCTATTTTCCACCGAAAGAAATCATATTGACAAAAACCTTATTTGGGTTTACGATTTTTTATGTCATGAAGCAACTACAGTTTCATCATCAATGGCATCAACATCAAACCAGAGCTTAAAAGATCTTCAATGGCTTTTTCAATCAATTCAAACTGAAAGTCTCAATCTTAAAAGCATCTCTTTCCATCTTTCTCAACCAACATCATGTTGTCATCAAGAAACTCAAGATTCGATTCATATAAACATTTCAAGCGATTCCCATTTCCAGTTTTCCAAAATCCTCACACTCCTATCAACATCTTCGAAACAAAATTTGCTGCAAAATGTGGAGTTTTATCAAGTTGAATGGCAGATGGAGGAAATGACGAGTCTCGAGGTTCTCCTCGATGGTTCTGAAAATGTAAAGCAACTTGCATTCAAATCGAATAGGTTAAATGCCGATTGCATGGGGAAATTATCGAAGATGTTGAGGAAAAATGAATCGATTAAAGAGATTATTTTGTCGGAATCGAGAATTGGTTCGTTTGGAGCTACTCTCATTGCTTCAGCTTTAAAGGTGAATTCCTGTTTAGAAGAGTTGCAGATATGGGAAGATTCGATCGGATCAAAAGGAGCAGAAGAGCTCTCGAAAATGATCGAAGCAAATTCGACATTGAAGGTCTTAACCATTTTCGATTCGAGCTCAATCACCGCCACCCCATTGATATCGGCAGTACTCGCGAGAAACAGGTCGATGGAAGTTCATCTATGGAGTAGCGAACGTAATAGAAACAATAGCTCAAAAGTTGTTGAATTCGCACCTGAGAGCCAAACGTTACGAATATACCGCCTGAGCACTTCCGGAGCATGTAGGGTTGCCGGCGCTCTAGGGTGGAACACGACAGTCAAATCTCTCGACCTAACCGGCGTCCGATTGAAATCGCGGTGGGCCAAAGAATTCCGGTGGGTTCTAGAACAAAATCGGAGTCTACGAGAAGTAAACCTCTCGAAAACCTGCTTGAAAAACAAGGGAGTCGTTTACGTCGCCGCCGGACTTTTCAAAAACCGGTGTTTGGAAAGCTTGCGTGTAGATGATAACCGATTTGGCGGGATCGGTGTCGAACATTTGCTCTGTCCATTGACTAGGTTTTCGACTCTCCAAATTCAAGCAAACGTAACCCTAAAATCGATTACATTTGGGGGGAGAAGAACGAAGATAGGGAGGGATGGACTGATAGCGATCTTGCAGATGATTAACACTAATCAAAGTGTAACAAGATTAGGGATATATGAAGATCAGAGTTTGAAACCACAAGATATAATCAGAATCTTCAAGAACTTGGAGAGAAATGCTAGTTTGAAGTGTTTATCGTTGCAGGGTTGTAAAGGGGTTGATGGTGATTTAGTGTTGAAGACGATAATGGAGACTTTACAGGTGAATCCATGGATTGAAGAGATTGATCTTGCGAGAACCCCACTTCAGAATTCTGGAAAAGCGGAAGGAATATATTTGAAATTAGGTCAAAATGCAAAATCGGAACCTGAAGTTGAAGTTGACTTGCTTAAGGATATGCCTATGACTGTTCCCAAGAGCTGTAGAGTCGTCATCTGCGGAGAAGATTTTGCTGGTAAGTTCATTATACAGTTTGGAATGCATATTATATGGTTGATAAAATGCCTGAATCAAATTGTTTGAAGATTTATCCATTCATTTTGTATATGCAGGGAAAACCACATTATGCAATTCCATATCACAAAATTTCTCATCTTCAAAGCTACCATACATTGAACACGTGAAAACATTAGTAAATCCAGTTGAACAAGCAATTAGAACATCCGGAATGAAAGTAAAAACATTCAAAGATGAAGATACAAAGTTTTCAATATGGAACTTAGGAGGTCAACACGAGTTCTTTTCCCTTCATGATCTCATGTTTCCAAACCATGGAAGCGCTTCATGTTTTATAATTGTTTCAAGTTTGTTCCATAAACCAAATAACAAAGAACCAAAAACACCACTAGAGTTGGAAGAAGAGCTTCAATATTGGCTTAGGTTCATAGTTTCTAACTCAAGAACATCAACTCAACAATGCATGATCCTACCCAATGTGACTATGGTGTTAACACACTATGATAAGGTTGATCAATTAACAGGTGATCATTTTTTCGGTGTCTTTTACTTTCATAGACCACTTTAATAATGTAATTTTAAAGATATTTAAAATCTGATTTTCAACAGATATCCAGAATACAATGAATGTTCTTCAAAGATTGAGAGACAAATTCCAAGGATATGTCGACTTTTATCCAACAGTGTTCACAGTTGATGCAAGATCATCTGCATCAGTGAGTAAACTCACACATCACATTCGCAAAACTAGCAAAACCGTTTTGGAAAAAGTCCCAAAAGTCTATGAACTCTGTAATGATCTCATAAAAATTCTATCAGATTGGAGGTCAGAAAACCACGAGAAACCCTCCATGAAATGGAAAGAATTCAACGATTTGTGCCAAATTAGGGTTCCATCTCTACGAGTCCAATCAAGAAACAATCAAATGATAAAGAAAATGGAGACACGCAGAAAGGCAATCGCTTCGTGTCTTCATCGTATTGGAGAGGTGATATATTTTGAAGAATTAGGGTTCTTGATTTTGGATTTCCAATGGTTTTGTGGAGACGTGATTGGTCAGATTGTTAGGAAGTTGAGTTGTAATGAACAAAGCTATGGAGGATTTGTGAGTAGGAAAGATTTTGAGAAGATTTTGAAAGGAAGTTTACATAGTCAAATTCCAGGGATGGGGTCAAGGATTTTTGAGAATTTGGATGCAAGTGATTTGGTGAAGATGATGATAAAGCTTGAACTTTGCTATAAACAAGATCCATATGAAGAAGAATCTTTGTTGTTGATTCCTTCTCTTCTTGAAGAAAGTAGAACAAGAACACCAAAGTGGGAGTTGATTACATCTGATTGTGTTTTTGTAGGAAGACATCTTGAATGTCATGATTCGAGTCACATGTTTCTTACTCCAGGGTTCTTCCCAAGATTACAGGTATAAAATTACCAATAATAGCAATATGTTACGTTTTATTTACAAATAATAGATATGCACTTACGATTTCTTACCTATAATAGCAATTTATTTACTAATAATAGAAAGGTACTTCTGAAAACAGGTTCACCTTCACAACAAAATCATTGGACTCAAGAGTCATCATGGAGCAACATACAGTCTAGAAAAATCCCTCATCTTGATAAACATCAATGGAGTTCATATCAGGGTGGAGCTTGGAGGACAACTAGGGTACTATCTTGATGTTCTTGCTTGCTCCACCAAAAACCTAACTGAAACCCTAAAGCTCTTCCGGGAGCTTATATACCCAGCAATCCAAAGCCTCTGTAATGGTGTAACGTTGACTGAAAACATCCTTCGTCCAGAATGTGTCAAAAATCTCACACCCCCACGTCACCGGAAAACCCAATTTGTCCCACTCGCGAAGTTAAAACAGGCTTTGCTCTCAGTTCCGGCAGACGGAATGTATGATTATCAACATACCTGGACACCGGTGTTTGATTCAGGGCGGCAGGTGGTCAGAGCTGGGTTTGACTTTGCGCGGGATTTATTATCGGATGATGATTTCAGAGAAGTGCTTCATCGGAGGTATCATGACCTTTACGATCTGGCTATGGAGTTACAAGTGCCGACGGAAAACAACTCGGATGAACCGATTCACGATGAAACCGGAAAAATCGACCCGTCGTTTGCTGGAATTGCGAAAGGGGTAGAAGAAGTGATTCATAGACTTAAGATAATCGAGCAGGAAATTAGGGATTTGAAACAAGAAATCCAAGGGTTACGATACTACGAACATAGGCTATTGACGGAGCTCCATCGTAAGGTTAACTACTTAGCAAATTTTAACGTTCAGATAGAAGAAAGAAAAGTACCGAATATGTTTTATTTTGTTAGAACTGAGAATTACTCGAGGAGATTAGTCACGAACATGATCTCCGGGATGACTGCGCTCCGGCTTCACATGTTGTGCGAATTCAAAGGCGAAATGCATGTTGTTGAAGATCAAATGGGGTGCGAGATGATGCAGATCGATAACAGAGCTGTGATGTCTGTGGCTCCATACATGAAAGGGTTCATGAAGCTTTTGACATTTGCCCTAAAAATAGGAGCTCATATAGCTGCAGGAATGGGGGAGATGATCCCGGATTTGAGTAAAGAAGTTGCGCATCTGGCCGGAAACCCGCTTATGTTGGGGGCTGCCGGTGCTGCTGCTACAGCTGGGGCGTTTGGGGCAGTAGGTGCGGCGGTGGCCGGCCGGAGTAGAGGGAGGTCGACGGATGTTCAGCAAGATATGAAGGCGGCGCAGCAATGGGTAGTGGATTTTTTGAGGGAAAGGGGATGTTCCACCGGAAAAGATATTGCTGAGAAGTTTGGGTTGTGGAGAGTGAGATATAGGGATGATGGTCAGATTGCTTGGGTTTGCAGACGTCATATGTATACAAGAGCAAATGAAATAGTTGAGGTACCTCTGTGACATTGAAAAGATTAGGGTATGTTGGTTTGAATCATGTTATATTTTTGTATGTATACACTTTTATTTGTTGAAAAATTAAATATCTTCTAACTTTTCTTCTTATCTAACCTATCTAATCTTTTATTCGTTTTAAATATGACAAATATTTTTAAATATTATTATTGTTATTAAATATAACATCTTCTTTAACATGGATAGAAGAATAATAAGAATAAAAGATAAAAAAATATTTTATTTTTCTTATTTGTTTATCAAGTTTATGTATTTTAGAATCTCTTACGTATCAATTTCATTTCTTTATATCAAACATTTCACGCAAACCCTAAATTTTAGATTTCCAACAATTGCAACTTGGCCATCATTATTAAAGAGTATCATATGAAATATAAATAAGATACACTACAGTTGGTTTAGATTGAGAAAGTAAGGTATTTATATGAAATATAAATAAGATACACTAAAGTTGGTTTAGACTAAGAAAGTAAGGTGTTATTTGTTTTTTCGAAACAAAAATTTATGGAGTCTGTATACCATCTTTTTAACTCTCTGCAGCAGATGGTTTACCAAACGGCTGCAACTGTAATAAGAAACATGTTTGTTTTTTTAATATTTGTAGACTAATATTTGTACACTGTTATAGTAAACTAAAATTTAAATAAACAAATTTTAGAAATTGGAAATAGTTTTCAACACCGTATGAGCGTTGCTTGAGTTGTTGAAGGAATTAAAAAGATCATTCGTAAATTTTAATAATTCTAGTCTTAAAATATTAAAAGAATACTAAAAAGAACATGTAAAAAACAAAAATATAAAATTTTTATAAAAATATAAAAGAAACTATCAGTTTTATTTTTTATTTTAGAAAAAAACTAATTTTAAAAAACACATAAAAAAGAAAATAATAAAGAAATTAAGAAAATATTGCAAACAGTATCTATAAAGTCCGTAAAAGAATTACGCATGTCAAAAAAGATGCAACCGAAATTAAAAATATTATTAACAGAAACGGTAAAAAAAATCAAGTTATAAAAAATTATGGAAACTATAAAACGAAATTGTATCAAATCCGTAAATCAGAGTTTTAAAAAAAATCAAAGTTAAAAAAAAAAAATCAAAGTTTAAAAAAAAAAAATTAAGCTATACCAAATTTCTTAAAAAAAATCACTTAGAAAAATATAAAAGTCGAACAGATTTGAAGAGACAAGTCAAGTGTTGCGCCGCACAGAATACACGAAGAGGTTTTGTAGTCTGAAGCTTTGCAAAAAACAAATTGTTGCGAGAGGGCAACGAAAGGGCAAATACTACACGTATATTGTGCCGCACAACAAAAAAATGGTTTAAAGATGTTAAAAAAAACAACCTAAATGATTAACAAACTCACACAACTATCTTCAACAAGTATCATGCGAAAGATAATCACATAAGACTCCTCAAATTGGAGAACCAGCCTACGAACAAGAAATTCACCGACTACAACCGGCAAACCACACGTTCAAATGATCGGTTTCACAGCTGGGCATACCGTTTTGAAAGCCGCTGCGTGCAAAGTGGTAAAGCACGATAACGCATGTATAGCAAATCAACATGTGTTTGTTCCTTTTGCATTCGATACATTTGGTTTTCTCGCAATAGAGGCGGTGAAGATCCTCAATAGAGTCCAACGGGTCATGCATTCTAATGTCATATCTTCTAGATCCACAAATATACTTTTCAAAAAAATTAGTTTTGCTATCGAGAAATGAATAGCGGTGCAGTTTGTTATCCGTTTGCCTTCAATCGATATGTATTGAACTATAATACATTTATTAAATGTGAGGTTTGAAATCAACATCAAAATGAAGAACAAGGCATTTGAAGCAAATGTGATTACAAGCAAAATGCGTGGCAATATTGTAAATAAATAGAACATATAAACATGTCTAGTTTTCGAGCTAATCGAAATCGGAAACTCATCTTAATCAAGACGATCCTAAAATCAACTAAAAATAACCTAATAGTGTCATATCAGTCTCAATTCAAATATATGTGACAGATAAACTCAAACTTGAAGAAAAAAGTCTAACGTTTTTAAAATAAATAACAACTAAAGAAAATACAATCAACAACATAACCAAAAGAAAATGAGACGAAAAAACACGATGTTCCATACATAAACAACACTAATAATCATCTAAATCCCTCACTATCACCTTGGGTCAGCATTTATGCTCCAGTCATCCGAGCATTCATGATATCGGATGACTGGAGCATAAAATCATCTATCACTTCAAAAGAACGCCCGACTCCCATAAAAAACTCGTGGGCGGGTCCCATTTGGTGTTCCCGAGTTTTGATCCGAGCTCGAGTCCCCCGAACTCGTCTTCTCGTTCTCCATGTCCAATGGCAGCTTCATCTTCGCCAACGACTCCGTAAACTGCTGCATACTCTTCATGTACAAATCCACAAAATCTTGTTGCACCACTTTTTGATCCATCTCAAGATTCACCACACCCACAGGCTTGTTTGCCACGTCACCAGCCGACCCATCTTTAACCGGGTCATCTTTCAGAGACGATTCCGATTCCGATTCTTGATTTCCGGATTCAAGTTTATCGGCAACAAAAGGAACGGAATCACATTGAGACCCATTAGTCGAGACACTTGTTGGAGGTGACTCAGGTTTGGGTTCGATCCCATGATCGAACCCAAACGATGCACCGTTTTCCGAACTCGTCTGATCGTCTGTATCAGACGAGACTAAGCTCTCTGAACTAAGCCCAATATATTCCGACACCATCATCTCATTTTCATTCGCAATTTTCGGATCCGGGAACTCGAGTTTATCCAAATCGGAAACCAGCGTGTCGGAATCCGGACATGACGGAATCGGAACCGGAATCGCAATCACATCCGGTGACACTCCGTTGTATGACAAAGAGAGCTGAACGAAACCGGAAGGCGAGTGGAAAATATCATTTGTTGATAACGAGAACTCCTTCTCAACTTTCTTGAAGATAACATCGGAAAGTGGGATTACAGTGAAACCTAGCAATTGATCTTCGAGGTAATTCCGGACTCTGCTTAACATATATATTTCACATTTGATTGAAGTGTCGAGAGTGGGGACATCGATTGAAACCTTTTCGTTGAAAACGGGATTTTGTCCACCTCCATTTATCGTGTTTGTGGTGACGGATTTTTCGGGGTTGGTGGTGAGGGTAATTTTGGCATAAACATCTTGTTTGTGGTATATACAGATGTTTTGAATGTCTCTAGCTTGATGAACGTAGATATCGAGAACACCAAGGGATGGGTCGGGTTTTTTTGATGTGAATTCAGGGCTTTTTGGGGAATGATTGAGATTATGGCTTTTGGGGTCGGAGTAAATTGATGAGTTCTTCAATGGTGATACAACAGATTGTGGAGATTCCATGAATTTACACCTGGAAAACATTGAAAATTAATAATCAAGAAACTGTTTCTTCAGATCATGAAATTACAGAGCAATGACGTGTGGCTTTTGCATATGTTGATAAACAGAAAACTACAAAAGTATTCATGATTCAAGAACGCAACCGATTATGCAGCCAATCAATTACCAAAAAATGTAATCATAGTAAACAACACACAATTCAAATAATTAAACTTCATGATCAACATAAAAATCTAACCTGGATTCAATTGGGAAACAGAATTCTCAAAAAGGGGAAGCACAAACCCTAATTTAGATCACCTAAACGGTAAAAACATGCATATATATAGAGACCCGCGAAATATTGTCAGAGCTCAAGTACGTACTGACCCCAATAGTTATTGGATAAACATAAACCCTATTTTGACTAAAGATAGCACAAAACTCGATTCAATAAGCATATTCCAATAAAGTTAACTACTTTACCTCAAAGAACAAAACCTCAGAATCCAAGAGAGGAAAAACAGGGAAAAAGAGAAGCTAAAACGGTAGTAGATATAGATCCCTTTGAATCATAAAATAAAAAACCCATAAATTGTTAAAAGTCGATTGCACAGGAAAAGGATAAAGCAGAAAAGCATCAAAGATTGAGTAGAAAGTGTAGTCCTTTCTTACCTTTTTTTTTAATCACCAGAGTCCAAGAAACTGCTGTAGAATGTTGGTGTTTGGATTCAATGAAATCTTTGGAGAAATCGAGCTCGAAAATGAGGAAAATTGGAGAGTGTGTATTGATTTTGAAGAATGAAGAAAATTATGCGATTGTGTGGTTGGATTTTGAGGGGGGTGGTGGGTATTCTTTTCAATAATCAAGTTCGAATTGTCTTCTTGTTAATAAAATAATGGTAGATTATGCTACCGACATGTTATGCAAAGAAAATTCAAGGAGATTTTCAACCAAGTGGTGTGGCAATATAATCAGGTATAGTAATTAACATATAAATATTTGGAAAAAAAATCACTTTATGTTTAGTTTGAAAAATCTTATCATTATATACTTTTTAGAAAAAGTTCAAAAAATATATATATAATTTTCGTTCAATTTCATGACTTTGTAGTTGCACAACTTATAAAAATCTGAAATAGTTAGTTTTTCCATCTATAAAAAAAATGCCTAAGTTTTATAATTCATCCACAAGATTCAACTTCTATTAGGCTACAGGGAGGAGTGGTCACCACTAACCCACCGAAAAGTTGTTGTTACCTTTGCGCTACATCAGCTTCATCACCAACCATTAAACATTGAAAATTGTTACCACTACATAATATTCCTTTTTTATTTTTTTTATTTTTTTAATTTTTTGTAACACTATATTAAATAAAAACATAAATAAATTTTTTGAAAACACAAAAAAATAAAATCACATTTAATTAATTAAAAACATAGAAATTTAAAACCTATATTACTAAAATAAACATAAAACATAACAAATAAAACATTACACTACTTAAAAAACATAAAAAAACCATAGAGAAACACTACTAGTGGTCATCGCCAAACTCATCTGCCTCATCGTCACTGCCTTCATCCTCTTCGTTTTCATCGTTATTTTCCCTTTGGAATTGTCTTTCTCATATGTATTCGGTCAAATCATGACGTATATTGTGATGTGTTTCACGGTTTTGTATTTCCAAAACCCTAAAGAAGTATGTTGGGTTGCCAACTTGTATTACTGCAGGTGGATTAAGTATGTCTTTCCCGATATATGAACAAATAGCCATATCATCTTCTTCTATTGTTATGTTATGTAAAATAACACAAACAGTTAACATCATCGTTAGTTTTGCCATATCTCATGTTCGTGTCGGATGTTTGATTATGTGTCACTTTTGTTTTAGGACTCCAAACACCTGTCCCACATCCTTCCTTGCAGATTCATGTGCTAACTTGAACAATTTTCGATTTTCATCGACTGTAAATGAATATGACTTAAAAATTGTAGCATACTTTGGATGTATCCCATCACCTAGGTAATACTTATAATTATATTCATTTTCATTCACAACGTATCACATGTCAAGTGCTTTACCATGCAAAATATTGTTAAATAACGAAGACGCTTGAAGCACATTCAAGTCATTATTGGACCCCGTCATACCAAAGAATGCATGCTAAAACCATAGGTCATGTGAAACAATCGCCTCTAATGTAACAATCGGGATCCCATGATCACCTCGCGACGCATTGGGACAATTTGCCCACTCCCAGTGTGTACAATTAGTACTACCAAGCATCCCTGGAAAACCATGTTTAGCTTTATACATGACATACAACTGTTCGACATCACTTTTAGTTGGATGTTTGATTATGTGTCACTTTTGTTTTTGGACCCCAAACACTTGTTCCACATCATTCCTTGCAGATTCATATGCTAACTTGAACAATTTTCGTTTTTCATTGGCTGGAAATGAATATGACTTAAAAATTATAGCATAGTCTGGATATATCCCATCACCTAGGTAATACCTACAATTATATTCATTTCCATTCACAACGTATGACATGTTTGGTGCTTTACCGTGAAAAATATTGTTAAATAACGGAGACGCTTAAAGCACATACAAGTCATTATTGGACCCCACCATACCAAAGATTGCATGCCAAAACCATAGATCATGTGAAAACAACTACCTCTAATATAACAGTCGAGGCACCATGATTACCTCGTGTGAATTGACCACGCCACACATTGGGACAATTTGCCCGCTTCCAATGTGTACAATCGATACTACCAAGCATCATGTTTAGCTTGATGCGCGACATACAACTGTTCAACATCACTTTTAGTCGAATGTCACAAGTATATGTCACACTAAAGCTCTATAACATACTCACAGAAAAGATATGTACAGTCTCGATCCGTCCTTTCAAACATTTTCAAATACTCATATGATGCATCTGCGACTATGCCTTATCCCAATTATCTAAGTGTGTTTGTATATTTTTGTATTGTAGTAAAACTACGTTTACCTCTACCATCCCATCTTAATTGGAAAAACTCATAATTACATTCCAAATCTCTAGCTATACATAAGAATAAATTTCTACTAATACGAAAGCGTTCTTCAAAATTCGATAGATCATATAAATTATCAGGGTCAAAATAATCATGTATCAAAAGTTCATTTGTCGCCTCTCGGTCCCGGTTGATCCATTTTCCATACTTCTTCTCGCTGTGTGAACTTTCCGCTCTTTCACGAACTATGTCTTGTGCCGCAGACAATAATGTGTGCAATACCAATTCGTCATCAGTTGAAGAAGAAATGGAACCAAAAAAATTATCCATTTTTTTAAAGTTGTGTGAATTTTTTGAAAAAATGTATGTGTTTTTTTGTGAAAAAGTGTGTAAAATATTTGTATATACATAAAGAGAAAGTTAACTAAAATGAATGATTTTTTTTGTTTTTTTCTTATAAATTTTCAACTGTCAAATGCCCCCCCCCCCCCCCCCCCCCAACGGTCAAAATCAATTTCAACCAATGAATGCATCCATCTTCTTCTGTCTCCCCACCCACACCACAACCAGAGCACCAGACCTTGGGGCGGTGTTCATGCATCTTGGTTGTTCCACATCAGCCTTCACGCGTCCTTTTCCTTCCCCATACCGGTTAGCCTGAGACTCTTTTCTTTGTTATCTTTATTTAAAAAAGATATTTATTACGTCACCCACAACAAAGATAAAAAAAAATTGCAAACTCTTCCACTATTGACAAAAGTTATTATCATTATGAAGAGAATGATTGTTTTTGTTAGGTTAACAATTCATTTTCCCTTTTTTGGCCCAAGATATGAACCCTTTTATCAAGGCAAAAAGAATTCCACTAACGAAGCACGTGTTAACCTTGAAATTATTATTGGAAATCGCAATATAATTTTACTTAAACATAGTCTTATTTATACTAAACTAAAAGACTTTGACTCTAATACAAAGACTTGAAAGAAAGCTAAAAACACTAAAATTTTCTAAAATACCCCTAGATATAAAAACTGATTTTGAATCATTTGACGAAACCGATTAATCCAACAATCACCCCTTAATCGGTTTGGTCATACTGATCTTTCACAGTAGTGTTTAATCACATTCTTTTCGAACTGTCTCGATTCTTGACCTTTTCCGGACACCCGACCTTCACCTCGGTCACATCCAAGGTCTTCTCTCAATCCCTTTGATTGTTAACAACACATTTGACGTATACCATGGTATCCTGTTGGACATGTTCATTACCATCTTGACTTTTCTCTGATCAATGACCTCTTCCTTAGCCACATCCAAAGCCATCCGATTTGAACTCCAGCATCATAATGTTTACACCGTGTAGTTTCTCTAATCTCTTCCTTTGTTTCGATCACCTTTCTTCAAAGAGGCATCTCCATCGACTAAGAAAACAAAGCCACATGCTTCACCGTTTTCTTTAAATCCGCCAAACGAACTGAATCCAAAGCCACCTGCTTTGACAGACCCTTCATGCCTGCTTTTCACGCACCTACGTCGGTATTCCCTTATCACAAACAAACCAGTCAAGACCTACGGAATCCCGACAGCAACACCTTCTGTTGAAAACGTCTCGAAACAAACCATTTTTTGATCGTAACTAACAATCGTGGACCACCTTTGTTCATCATCGGTCACCCCCGTCATCTCAAACAGTACTCCATGTCTCCGTCATGACAACCACCTGTTGGAACACTTCCGTCTCTGTAAACAGTCCCAGTTCCGACCCGTATTAGCAGCCAAACAAGCTGCTAATATCGACCACCATGTCATCTAAAATCAGTCAACCTACTTGCTCTTCCGCTGCGATGACAGCTCCGCACCCCCAAGGGCCATCCCCTTCGAAAGTTGGCTCTCAAACCAGCCATCTTCAACCTTTGCTCTGATACCAAGTGTTAGTAATACCACCTGATATTACATTGTCTCCTAAGGTATGAATTAAACAAAGAAGAATAAAAAACAAGAACAGATGAATTACTTGTTAACCTTGAAATTATTACTGGAAATCTCAATGTAATTTTACTTAAAAATAGTCCTATTTATACTAAACTAAAAGACTTTGACTCTAATACAAAGACTTGGAAAGAAAGCTAAAAACTCAAAACCTTCCTTAAATACCCCTAAATATAAAAATTGTTTTTGAGTCATTTGATTAAACCGATTAATCCACAGGCACAAGTATATAAAGGTTGCTATTGATGTCTATGAAACAACGCATGCAAGATTCACATATATTACTGGTAAATGAGTATTGGACTAACCCACCTCAAGATGTCTCCATGCTTTGGCGTCATTGAGTGTATCTTGAAAAATGAAATAAGTTTGTGTATCCTTCAACCTAAGATATATGTTGGCTCTTAAGTAGGCTTAGTGTCATGCATTGATGTATGTTAAACATTATCCTGAATAAGACCATTCTAAATGTTACCATCAAATATGACATGAAACTTATAAAGGGCACATGTAGTTAACATTAATGTATTTTCTCTAGTTGTTGGAGTGTAATATCAGTCATACCCCTCAGACCCCTTCGCATGATTGACTAATATAAAATGTATGGTCGTACCTAGAAAATATTGATAGTCAATCAAGTCGGTTATCTTATCTGTAACGCCCGTAGACCAGGGCTAGTCAAATTAGAGACGATAAGCGTCAAAAATGACTTTTTGATGGAAGATTATTTTGAAGGAATAATCTTAACTAAGTTGTAGTATATGTTACTAGGATTTGTGTACATATAAAGAACATTGAAATCCGAGTTATAACGAATAAGTTATGACCTATCGAAGTTTCGCGACAGAACCGATACGACACAGCGCGACGTAAAAAGTAAATTTATGTTGGAGTGATTTTTAGCCTTAGTGATCTAAACAAAAGTTGTAGTTTTAGTTAAATCGAGAGCATGCATAAAAAGAATGCCCAAATCTGACTTCATATGAAGAAGTTATGATTTTATGAAATTTCAGCTTAGCGGTATGCAGCCCGAATACTCGATTTGAGATCGAGCGGTTTTTAGCAGAAACAATCTAAATGAGAATCGAAGATCTCATCGATAGTAGTCCAACTGTAAAAAGACAGACGAAAACGGACGTCGGATAAAGAAGTTATGAAATTATAACGGAGTTTTCCTGTCCCAGCCTACTAAAAATAATATAATAAAAATAAAGTCGAAAGCAGCCGATGGAGTCTAAATGAAAGTTGTAGAGCATGGTCTCACCTACGCGTGGATATAAATAATGTCGAAAACGGAGCTCGTATGAGGAAGATATGAATTTCGGAAATTTTTAAATAATTAATATATATAAATTTAATTATAAATTTCGATATTATCCGAAGGGGGGGGGGGGGGGGGGGGGGAGTCAGCGGCCTTATCCAAACTACGCCCAGAGAAAACTTTAATTACGCCCAACGTAATTTGGGGTTTCAGCCCCTATAAATAGATGTTGAGTGCAGTCGAGTTCTATTGTTCATTTCTTCCTTTCTCTCTCATTTTTGCATCGTTTTGCATGCAAGTTATACCCCGAAGCTCCAGTATCATTCCCGAGACCCGAAGCGAGTCCCAAAGCCCCGAATATCCCAAGAAGTAAAACTCCCGATCCGAAGCTCTGCCCGCGTTAAGCCTGGTTTTGGAGAAAACATCCCGGTTTCGTCGCAAAAGATTATTTTAATAGACGAGGTACTGTCCGATCATCGTCTTATCATGTGACTGTATAGTCACTTTCTTCTTACACATAAATATTAAGTATTTGCTATGAAATACGTGTTATGTGTGTATATATTGTTGTTTATTTGAGATAATTGTGGAATGGATAAATTATATAGGTTTTAATGAGTTAAACTCTATACATATTTTGTATCTATGAATATGTTGGGTAGAGCATGGGTAGATGAGATTGTTGGTATGGGATACAAGATGATTTGGATCATGAGATAAAAGGATATAGAGATAAACTTGTTATAGATTCGGGAGTATGGATTAGATCAAGAGGTTAGTTTTAGATCCGAGAATATGGATTAGGTAATGAGGTAAATTTTAGATCCGGAAGTACGAATTATGTATTTTTGAACTAAGTGTTCATCCGATAGGGTATCATGTGCATAGTCCCGTTCATAGACATAATTTGTCACACCCCAAAACCAAGAACGGCGGAAACGTTCTGGGGCAGAGGACGTCATGTACAGTATCACAACAATGAAAAGTAGTAAACAAGCAACAACATCATCCATTGCATTAATAATATAATTATTATACAAGTGTCCTGTCAAATTTTGATAAACACAAAAGCATAAATCAAAATGAAAGATGAGTCTTGAACAAGCTCCATCTTCCTTTCTCCTTGCATCGGTACCTGTCTATGATGACCTGAGGATACAAGTAATTTTGAAAGCGAGTATCAGCTTTAAAGCTGGTGAGATCATAAGTATTTAGTGTCTTAATTTGTACGTAAGTATTTGTATGTAAAAATTTGTATATGAACTGTAAGTATGAAGAGGTTTGTAAAACAACTGTAAACGTTTGAAAAACCCTAAAAATCCCTATGATTCCTATTAGTAATAAAATGAGTCTTCTACCAAGACTTAACTGTTCTCGATGTAGTCTTCTATCAAGACCTAACTATTCTGAATGTAGTCTTCTACCAAGACCTAACTGTTCCGAATGTAGTCTTCTACCAAGACCTAACTGTTCTGAATGTAGTCTTCTACCAAGACCAAGTTGCATTAGTATTACCCTTTGGAACAAGGGCAACTAACAATGTTAACTGAAGACATCCGTAGATGTACATTTACCTCTGTTGCTAACAGCTGGGTATAGGAATAGTCAGTCCCCAAAAGTATACCTGTAATGGTATCAACTGTTGACATCTGTGGATGTGCTTTTACCTCTGTAGCTAACAGAGATTCTAGGAATGGTCAGTCCTGCAACGTATCCTTGGGTACTAGGATATTAAATCCAATCTATCTCGTCGATTATGTGATTGAATCACAAGGTAATGATAAGAATGAGGATTATATAACAGAATCTATACATATAAAATGTACTAGTAATTCCTGTAAGTGTACTCATGTACATGTGATCATGTAACCATATATATGTAATATTATGGTAAGGTATTGTAATGTTCTAGCTGTAGTGTACGTGCTCTCTATCTAGCAAGTATAGTAATATACTGTAATGTTCTAGTTGTAGTGTACGTGCTCTCTATCTAGTAAGTATAGTAATGTACTGTAATGTTATAGCTGTAGTGTACGTGCTATCTATCTAGAAAGTATAGTAATGTACTATAATGTTCTAGAAAGTATGACTCATGAATGAACTGACTCATTGTATAGTATTGCGTTCTAGTAATAGTTCTAGTATCTTCCTAAACTACCCATATGGTAGCTTACTAGTAATATAACTGGTACGTATGAACATGGATGTATACCCTTGCTACCCAAGGGCATTGGATGAACTGGAAGGGCCTTTATGACTATATATGTACATATGATATATAACTAATATTTAAACGACCTTCGGACGGATACCCGATATCCCACCAGACCACATCTCAAGCGCGAAAAGGAAATAGGGTGGATAGCCTTCCTAAGTCTTTTAAACATTTCTCATATAACTATACATATATAGGCATGCAATTTATAATATAAAAGCATAAAGTAAGTTTTGTAAAACCTTTGAACATAATTATTATCTTAAGAAAAGATCGACTTGATGTCAATCTATAAAACAATTTGAAGTAAAAACAGTTTGAAGTAAAACGTTTTGATAACAGCTTGGAGTAAAACAGATCGGAGTAAAATGGTTTGAAATAGGATCATACAGTTTGTAATGAACCGTTTAATAAGGATTTTTAAACATTTAAAACATTTAAGAAAATCATTTGAGGAACCTGTTTGGTAAGAATGGTTAAAGTGAAGTGAATCATTTGAATGTTGCATATTAATCACATGTGATTGATATAATAACTAGCATAATTCTATTGATTAATCACATGTGATTGATACAATAATTAGCATGATTCTACTTGTATCCCCCCCCATAAAACATTTAAAACATTAGTTAAGGGGTATGAACTCACCTGTGGTAAGTGGATCGGAAAGAAGTGTCGGATAAGTGTTTGGTGTCAAGTGAAGACTTAGACACGCACAAAGATCCTAATAACATATAAGGATATATGTATATACCTAATTAGTCTTTAAACAACTAATAAACAAAGTTAAAACACTCTAGGACATGTTAAACACTTTATACAAGTGTTAAAAGTCTCAAGGGTTGCATCTAAGTGTTGTAGGGAAAGGCTAGTGTGTTTGGGGTTCAAGGGTAACTCTTAAAATGAGTTTACTCCCTAAGGATCAACACCCCTTGAGTTTACGGCCGTAAACTCTTGAGTTTACGGCCGTAAACTCCAAATCTTTTGACCATTTGGTGATATGAAGTCTTCTAGGCTATTCCAAGCATTCCTACTTCACGAATTAGCCGTAGGAAGTGTTGTGTGGCATCAAAACACTCCTCAATGGAGTTTACGGTCTAAGGACCATTTCTCATGAGTTTACTACCTTAAACTCCTAAGTTTATGGTATTTTGGGTTTTCAAGTCCTTAGTTCAATCATGGTACCCAGCCTAGGTTAGATTTAGCCATAAGAACCAACTATGGGACTTTAAATGGACATTTACCCACTTTTTGGGGTGTTCACGGTTTTGGAACATCCCTAAACCGTAAACACATAAAATTGGGGGTTTTGGTGCTTTTTCAAGGCTTAAACACAAGAAGGAA